ACACACACACACACACACACACACACACACACACACACACACACACACACACACACACACACACGAATGTTATTCGGCCATAAAAAAAGAATGAAATATTGGCATTTGCAGCAACATGGATGGACCCAGACGATATTATACTTAGTGAAGTCAGTCAGTCAGAGAAAGACAAATATCATATGGTATCACTTATATGTGGAATCCAAAAAATAATATAAATAAATCTATAAACAGAAAAAGACTAAGACAAGAAAACAAACTTTACCAAAGGGGAAGGCAGGGTGGGGTAGACAAATTAGGAATATGGGAATAACAAATACTAGTATATATATAACTACTATATGTAAAATAGATAAGCAGCAAGGATTTACGTATAGCACAGGGAACTATATTCAATATCTTGTAATAACCTATAATGGAAAATAATTTGAAAAAAATATTGTTACATATAAATGAATCACTTTGCTGTACACCTGAAACTAGCACAATATTGTAAATCGACTGTATTACCAAAAAACCCCAAAACTGTGGCTTAACTAAGCCACAAAGCCTGCAAATCATGAAAAACCAAAAGACTGAAATCCAATACATTAAAACTAACTTCACAAAAAAACACAGAATGAAAACACAAAATTAACTGAGCATATTCAGCAGGCACATATGACCAACAAAAATTAGCATCCAGAATATACAAAATATTCCTACAATTAGTAAGAAAAAGATAAATTGAAAGAAAAATAGAAGTCATGAAGGCATTTTATAGAATAAAGAAAACGGCTCTTAAACAGAAATATGTTCAATCATATAAAAATCAAGGAAATGCAAATTAAAACCACACAGATACTGACTACAGACTGCAGAAATTAAGCTGCCAGTAGGGATGGAACAATGAGGAATAATCTCACCTGCTGCTGGGATGGGAGAACAGTTTTGCATTCTCTCCAACGACCTTGCAGGTACACCTGGCCCTACCACCTAGGAGATTCACTTGTGACACACTGCAGAAACTCAACACACGTACCCAGAGACATGTACAATGACGATTACAGCAGCACTATTCATAGTATCCCAAATTTGGAAATAACCCAAATCTTACCTAGACTAAATATCTGTATTCATGTAACACAATATGAAGGAAATAAAGCTAAATAAACTATGTAACTATACACATCAACACTGATGAATTTAAAAAATGACAATGAATTAAAGAATACATTTATATTAACTTTACAAAAACATGCAAAACACCATCATATTGTTTTTAAAAATATAGATGGTTGTAACCCCCAAGAAAAGCCCAGTGCGCTGTGGTTTCCTCTGCAGTAGAAAGGGGAGCCGAGACCTGAGGAGGGATGATGGGAGCACCTAAGGTGGTAGCAATAAGCTCTTAACCTACCTGGTGGCTACACAAGCATTCTATTTTTATTCACTAAACAGTACATACGTATTATATACTCTTGTACATGCATCATTTTTTTAATAAAATTTTTAAGTTTAGAAAGAGTGGGTGACTTTCAACTTAACTGAAATGTGTTAATGCACATTAAGGCCCTCTGAAAATAAGTGCCATGTAAATGAAAGGTGGGAGGGTGGAAAATGAGATTTTTTTTTTGAAGATTTAAGCATGCATTTTATTTTTTTATTTTTTATTTTTTTTATCTTTATTGGAGTATAATTGCTTCACAATACTGTTAGTTTCTGTTGCACAACAAAGCAAATTGGCCATATGCACACACGTCCCCGTATCTCCTCCCTCAAGCCTCCCTCCCACCCTCCCTATCCCACCCCTCTAGGTCATCACAAAGCACGGAGCTGATCTCCCTCTGCTATGCACCAGCTTCCCGCTAGCCATTCATTTTACATTTGGTAGTGTATATACGTCAGTGCTACCCTCTCACTTCACCCCAGCTTCCCCTTCCCACTCCCCATGTCCTCAAGTCCATTCTCTACGTCTACCTCTTTATTCCTGTCCTGCCCCTAGGTTCATCAGAACCTTTTTTTTTAGATTCCATATATATGTGTTAGCATACAGTATTTGTTTTTCTCTTTCTGACTGACTTCACTCTGTATAGACTCTAGGTCCATCCACCTCACTACAGATAACTCAATTTCGTTTCTTTTTATGGCTGAGTAATATTCCATTGTATATATGCACCACATCTTCTTTATCCATTCATCTGTTGGTGGACATTTAGGTTGTTTCCATGTCCTGGCTATTGTAAATAGTGCTGCGCAAACACTGTGGTACATGTCTATTTTTCAATTATGGTTTTCTCAGGGTATATGCCCAGTAGTGGGATTGCTGGGTCATATGGTAGTTCTGTTTCTAGTTTTTTTAAGGAACCTCCATACTGTTTTCCATAGTGGCTGTATCAATTTACATTCCCACCAACAGTGCAGGAGGGTTCCCTTTTCACCACACCCTTTCCAGCATTTATTGTTTCTAGATTTTTTGATAATGGCCATTCTGACCAACATGAGGTAATACCTCATGGTAGTTCTGATTTGCATTTCACTAGTAATAAGTGATGTTGAGCATCTTTTCATGCGCCTCTTGGCCATCTGTGTGTCTTCCTTGGTGAAATGTCTATTTAGGTCCTCTCCCCATTTTTTAACTGGATTTTTTGTTTTTGATATTGAGCTCCATGAGCTGTTTGTATATTTTGGAGATTAATCCTTTGTCTATTGTTTCATTTGCAAACATTTCCTCCCATTCTGAGGGTTGTGTTTTTGTCTTATGGTTTCTTTTGCTGTGCAAAAGCTTTGGAGTTTAATTAAGTCCGATTTGTTTATTTTTGTTTTTATTTCCATTACTGTAGGAGGTGGATCAAAAAAGATCTTGCTGCGATTTATGTCAAAGAGTGTTCTTCCTATGCTTTCCTCTAATTAGGAGTTTTATAGTGTCTGGTCTTATATTTAAGTCTTTAATCCATTTGGAATTTATTTTTGTGTATGGTGTTAGGGAGTGTTCTAATTTCATTCTTTTACATGTAGCTGTCCAGTTTTCCCAGCACCACTTATTGAAGAGGCAGTCTTTTCTCCATTGTATGTTCTTGCCTCCTCTGTTGTAAATTAGGTGCCCATACATGTGTGGGTTTATCTCTGGGCTTTCTATCCTGTACCATTGATCTATATTTCTGTTTTTGTGCCAGTACCATGCTGTCTTGATTACTGTAGCTTTGTGGTATAGTCTGAAGTCAGGGAGCCTGATTCCTCCAGCTCCGTTTTTCTTTCACAAGATTGCTCTATTTGGGGTGTCTTTCGTGTTTCCATACAAACTGGAAATTTTTTTGTTCTAATTCTGTGAAGAATGCCATTGGTAGTTTGATAGCGATTGCATTGAATCTGTAGATTGCTTTGGGTAGTATAGTCATTTTCACAATATTGATTCTTCCAATCCAAGAACATGGTATATTTCTCCATCTGTTTATGTCATCTTTGATTTCTTTCATCAGCATTTTATAGTTTTCTGAGTACAAGTCTTTTGCCTCCTTAGGCAGGTTTATTCCTAGGTATTTTCTTCTTTTTGTTGCAACGGTAAATGGGAGTGTTTCCTTAATTTCTCTTTCTGATTTTTCGTTTTTGGTGTATAGGAATGCCAGATTTCTGTGCATTAATTTTGTATCCTGCAACTTTACCAAATTCATTGATCAGTTCTAGTAGTTTTCTGGTGGCATCTTTAGGATTGTCTATGTATGGTATCATGTCATCTGCAAACAGTGACAGTTCTTCTTTTCCAATTTGTATTCCTTTTATTTTTTTCTTCTCTGATTGCTGTGGCTAGGGGATTTCCAAACCTATGTTGAATAAGAATGGTGAGGGTGGACATCCTTGTCTTGTTCCTGATCTTAGTGGACATGCTTCCAGTTTTTCACCACTGAATATGATGCTTGCTGTGGGTTTGTCATATATGGCCTTTATTATGTTTAGGTTCCCTCTTTGTCCATTTTCTGGAGAGTTTTTATCATAAATGGGTATTGAATTTTGTCAAAAGCTTTTTCTGCATCTATTGAGATGATCATATGGTTTTTATTCCTTCAATTTGTTAATATGGTGTATCACATTGACTGATTTGCATATATTGAAGAATCCTTGCATCCCTGGGATAAACAAGCTAGCCTCACCAATTTTCATTTCCCAGCATTGCCTTTGGTTGTTTAGCCACCTGTCAGAACTACCGTTAGGGAAGAGCAGGACCTGCCTTACATTGTCAACACTTAGCTGAGCCATTTAAAAAGAAATAGTTTTTATGAGACCAAATCAAATACAGACAGTTTATCTTCAAACTTTTCAACAGCTAATAATTATATGCCAAGTGTATTTCTGCTTGTAAGGGCAATCATAATAATAGCTAATACTTATAGTAGTTAGTTTCCTAATAAAGTGCTTTATACAAATTAAATCCTCAAACAGACTATGAGCTATATTATTACACCATTTTATGCCTGAGGAAATGAAGCACAGAAAGGTTAAGTAACCTTGTAAGCAGCAAATCAGGATTCAGATCACAGTCTGGCTCCAAAATCTACACTTCTAACCACTATGTGCTATATTACTAGCACACAGAGAAAACCAGAGACAAAGCAGTCTCCAAATGCTTCTCTCAATACATTAATCTTTGAAGATTATTCTGATATTCAGTAATCACATCAACTTAAAAGTGCATCTTTAATGCCTTATTACCTTTTGTACACATTCTGAAATGATTACTGTAATACTAATTTTATATAGTTGGTGCTTCTGGGTACAGAAGTGCTAACTTTTTTTCCCTCACGTTAATAACAATGAGGGCATTACCAAAGAATGTGTCAATACACACAGATCTTACCTGCACTACAGAATGTACAGTCCTTAAAGATGGTCCCAGAATTACGACATCAGATCTGCACTGATTGGGAGATAAATTTCATCTACTTTCCTGAGTATGTCTCCACTCATAGGAACAACCAGCGCTATCCGGTAAACTAGGTGGTAAAGAAGAACCAAACTATTACAATAGAGGGAAATATCCATATACTTGTCCAAATCGACCTTTCATACAGTATATAAGAACTTCTTGTATAAACCAAACTCTCCTTTGGCTGTCACCATCTCTGAGTTCATCGCATAGTCCTATGACTTCACGTAATCTCTATAGACCCACTTATTCTGGATTCCTTTTTTAAAACTGAAGTCTTTGACAACCTGTTAAATTGTTCCTAACATCTAAAAACAAAAGGTATACCATCAGTCTGAAACTTCTGCACCTTAAGCTGGAAGAAGAACTAAAATTATTAAAATTGGTTAAAGTCTACCTTTTACGTTTGGCCAGTCCAACATAAAAGAGTAATGTGACAATGTATGTGATGGTATTGTCTCACCTTTCCCACCTTACAAACTTTTCTCCTCAGAAGAGAAGGAGCAGCAACCAGACTTTCTGAGCAAGAACATTTTTCTCCAGCACAGTATTTAAAAGGCTTTCCTTTATTACGACTGTTTCAGTTCAAGTCATGACTGCAGATGGCACTACAGCATTGCAAACTAATGATCCCTTCCCAGGATTAAGATTTAAAATTAACCATTCATGTGGGTTATTTGAAAATAGCAAGCAATAGAAAGATTAAGAATATAAAAAGGAGAGAAAACAAAAGTCCACCTGGGATACACAAAGAGAAGCCAGTACCAGTTTTATACTTGAAATTTTGCCTATGTGCACGCAAGTATTTTTTTAGAGAGATTCCACACACTATTAGATAAAAGGAACTCCAAAAAGATCAATATTAAGAACTACTGGGTTTAAGACATTCAATTTTGAACATAAACATCCAGAGGAAGTAAATTTTTGAAATTATATTTATTAATGTTCTATTATATCAATGCATATTGTATTCTCTTAGAACTGGGGAAGAGGAAAGCCCCACTTAACAGAGATAACAAACTTGCCATCTTTTATAAAATTTAATTAGAACTGACAATGTTATGGTTAGTCCTTAATTCCTGAGAATTTGAACATTAAGTTTTCTGTGAGTTTACAACAAATGCTCGCACTGATTTTTAAACTGCAGTATGTCTGAAAAAAATGAGAATATTAACAATACATCAGCAAGGAAAACTGTCATCTAAATGTGTACATCAACTTAGGTGTAAAACACTCAAGCCCTGTTGCTCTGCACTTTTAACAGCATTTAAATATGCTTAATCTTTTCAGAGATTTTATTTCAAGTAAGTAAACTTATTATACATCATCCAGACTGCAGTGACATTATTTTGAACTAAAGGCAAAATAATAATCTGTCACATTTTTCTCAGCTGTAGGTATCCATGGAGTCAGCATGTGAACTCTATCTAGTATTGATAAAATAATTGACGTGTGTGGGGATAATGACAGAGACATCTGATTCTCTTCTATTTAGAATTTCTCTCTCTATTAAAGGAGATGATTTTAGGGAAGTTAGAGAAGAAAAACAGAAAAAACAATACTGTTGCTATGAAATGGTGATCAATTTGATACAATCAAATGCAAAATCATTAATATAAACATTTACAAAAATGAAAATATAAATTATTAATTATGCAGCATGCTTTAGGGCCATTTCTACAGTTAGTACATATTACAAATATTAAATGCCTTTAATCCATCCATTGTACATAACTCTGTAAGTCATGTTTACATAATAAACAAAAAACACTTCCTACCTATTCTGTTTCTTCTGAATTTTAACAGTGAAAGTGTTATCTTGAGCTGGGAAAGTTACCCTGACCGTGATCAATGAATACAGACAGGGCATTGTACACCCGTTCCAAAAGCTGGAAATCAAACAACAATGTTAGAATTACTTGCAGGATTTACCCAAAGAAATGCTTAATAGGTAAGTGCAATGGAAAAATCAAGTATTTCCTAAAATGATGTTAGTATTACACATAAAGTTTTAAACTTTTTTGTTTTCACTGTAAAGGTATCACTGTATTATATTAAAAGATTATAGGCCATGATTAACCATTTAACTGATATAATCTTTACAAAAATAAAGCTAATAGCTTGCCAGGAACTAAATTTACTCAAAATCTTTCTGTACCTTTTAAATCAGTAAGTGGTTTAGTTTATTAGAACTTTATTCTCACAGTGGTAATTTTTTAAAAGCCTGCACAGTGCTTAATCTGATTTCTTAGATTATACTTGGTTTAAAGAAAAAGTCTGCCCAAACCATCATCAAGACTTCAGTTCAACCTAATTAATGTAGAAGAAACCTGAGTTTGGATGTAGAAATAAGAATTCATTCAATTTTCTCTGCTGTCATACATAATGCCTTCAGCCAAAAGTAAAGCTTCAAGCAGGACTCTATGGCTTTATCTGTATTTTCTTCCCCCTTGAGTATTAAGTAAATCTTAAATTTAAAGCAGTTTTTGGAGGTTAAATGTTCTCAAAGCAATGTAAACTAGTTATAAAATATCTCACCACAGACAGCAGCAGCTCTAGTGAGCCACATGAAATTAACAATGAATCAGTTCACACTGTACAAAAAGGGTACATAACACTTATGCCTCACCTCTAGTATCAAAACCATCTTCATATATCCCTTTTATAAGAATATTGATATGTATGCTTCATGAATTTCAGGCTCAATTCCTTTTGTTTAAACATTACTGGCTGTACATAGTATATGCACTGAATTTCCAATGACTGAGACAAATATGGATCAAAGACCTATACAAATACAAATTATAAACATTCATGTAGATTACAAGAGGTCTGAGGTGGCAGTTTAGGAATTTAAGTTAACCCTTCTAAAACTTCATTTCAAATAACTGTTCCCAGGCACATCTAGCCGAAGTCCAGACAAAAATCTGATTTTAAAATCTCATTCTCAACCTTTGAAAAGTAGAGCCTTCAGAAGAAGAATGGACTTAACTTTAGAGCACTGCCTTAGAGAGCTGCAGCATCTAAATAATTCCCAGAGATGTGACCCAGGAAACACTTGGTTATTAGCTTATTAACATCCATTTCATATACAATTCTGATGATTTCATAGGGGCAATGCATACCATCAGTATCATTTGACAACAGGATCTGCAGACACAGTGCTGTCGGACAGGTCTCCATTGCTTGTTTTAGTCTCTTCTGGAAGCATGAGTGAAAATAATGGACATATTTATGTTCATTTTAAAAAGTGAATTAAGTAAATAAGAAGGACTAAAAAAAAAATTAAGAAGGACTATATTGCTAAATTTCAAATTAAGAAAATGCCACATCCACCAAATGTTTCTCTAATATCACAAATTATATGTAGTTTATTTACCTTAATTTTTTAGAAATCTAGGCTAAATATTGCAAATGTAATTGTTTTGACTGGTTTGTAATAGTGGTAGAGAATTGTGAGAGAGCAAAACTGCATCTGAGGTGGGTTTCACACTGCACCTTCCCCCAGCTGGGCCAAGAAATTGTAGTGCTATTATTGATAGAAACATGGTTACAAATTCACATATAAAATTGTCCAGAATGAATAACTTTCCAACTGTATAATTTATTTTTAAATGCAGTTTTTTATTATGACTGTGATAAAATGAATTTGTGCCTTTTGTGAAAAATGTCATATATATATATATATATATATATATATATACTTCATTAACAGAGAAAAACTAATGTTTTCAGCAACTTTGACAACATCTCTGAGCAAACTTTAGCTAAAATAGAGTCCTAAAACAGAACCACCACCCAGCATCAGGCAGATGGGTGACATACATTACCCCAAACCCTAGAAAGCTCCTTAAGAACAGCAGTCCAAAGCAAGGAGCTCCACTGAGGCTGAAATGTCTGTTTTGTCGTAATGCTTTAGGCCTTAAAGTAAATGGCCAATCCACCTGCAGAATATTCCTAGTTACCTAGGCTGGAGACAAGGTTCTGGCATCATGAAAGGCCTGAGCAGAACGTAAGCAATAACTCAAATTTCTTCACAATTTAGATTATACTGACTCAAATTCTTCCAGATGGCTTTGCTAAATATTATTTTTAAATGAACCCAAACATAACACATATATTTTTTTATTTAATAAATATTTAGTATCTTCCAGGTAACAGCCGGCAATCATTCTTCAAGAACACGATTATTATTCAGTCTAGATTCCAAAAATGCCTGCATATGCTAATAAGTAATACTGATGGAACATTATCAACAGGGAATAGGGTAACTGATATAAGTGGTCTACCCAAATGAATCACCTCTATTCAGTGTGAAAAACATTTATTTTAAAATCTAACTGGCAAAATAGGATTAATAAAAACATCACATTTTATGAAGTATCTTTTATTCTTGATTTGTGAAATACAAGAAAAAGGAAAAAGAGCAAACATGAAACCTGTCATGTTGCTGTACCTAGTTTTAAGCTTCCAAAGAGGAAACCTAAGTTACATAATTTCCATAACAGAAAAAAGGAAATATCCATTCTTCAGGGAAGGCAATTGTTGCTAAATTTCAAATTTGAGAGAAATGTACCATGAGGGTCCCTTAAGGATGAAATGCTTAACAATTTACACCCACAAAGAATACAACGGACAGAATCCTCTCCTTAATGACTATCAGCTATTATGGCTCTACTGCTCTCTAATTCTCCAAGGCCTGGCTATGGAGGAGCACAGGAGGCTACTACTTTGACACTAAAATGGCCCTGACTATTTTATGTCTCCTTAATCACCTGTCCCATACATTCAGTCAGTGTCTAGTCATCAGCAGCTCTGACTTAAGCCAACATTTAGTCTCCTCCTCTAATTTGTTCCTTCTTATCTGATACAGTTGAAGGGTGAAAGAAAAAACCCTAAACTTGGTAAATTTTTTAAATTAAGAGATGAACTGAATAAAGAGTTATCTCAGAATGAAATGCATAAACTATGTTAAATTTCTTTTCAGTTTCACATATATCCCCTTAGGCTTTACTTCTTTAAAAAGACATTTCTAGGTCTATATTATTTTTCAAAAAGAAAAGTCTGACTAGGTAAAATCGGGTATTCGTGTCTACTACCAAAGACAGATTCCAAATTTAAGCCACTCACTGACCTTCTTTCTCTTTCTTTTCTTGGTTTTCTTCAGCTGCAGTCTTGTCAGCTCTGAAGAAAATTCTTGCACTGCTCAGTGAGAAACAGAGCAATTCAAATTCCTAAGTAAATTAAAAAAATTAGAAATAAAAGCTGAAAATACTTTAGTAAAACATCAAAATTATATTTAATATCTCATTATTTCTAAAAAGCTCTAGTGAGTGCAAATCGCAAATACAGAAACTGAACTGTGTAGTCCACCCATTTTTTAAGAGATGAGTCAAATGGGTTCCAAATACCATTCATTTAAAAATATACTCTTGGGGCTTCCCTGGTGGCGCAGTGGTTGAGAGTCCGCCTGCCGATGCAGGGGACATGGGTTCGTGCCCCGGTCCGGGAGGATCCCACGTGCCGCGGAGCGGCTGGGCCCGTGAGCCATGGCCACTGAGCCTGTGCGTCCGGAGCCTGCGCTCCACAACGGGAGAGGCTACAGCAGTGAGAGGCCCGCGTACCGCAAGGAAAAAAAAAAATAAATAAATAAATAAAAATATACTCTTATGACCACTATTCATCTCACTTGTTAAAATGGGAGTTTCAACATGATTTATGTTTCTTCAGTGATCAAGAAGTAATGGATATTAAAAAGTCAAAGCCGATCTGACTGTTACTCTCGTCTACCTGTAAATAAACATCCAGTCGCTTCTGAGTGAGATTCATGGTTTGTAGTAGTTTTTCATCCTGACTAGTTGACTGCACATTCTGTTGCTTAGCAACTGCTCTTATCTCCTTCAGGTACTTCTCTCTAACAGACTGGAACCAGTGAAGTGAGTCAAATTCCTGATACTGATCCAAAAGCTTCAGAATATAAGCCACACCTAGAGTCACCAGCAAAACCAAAACAAAATTACAATGTGTAGACAAGTTATATTCTACTCCACCAATAATTCCTAAAATTAAGCTAACCATTTTAAATTAATCCTCTTTCAAATTACATTTTACAGCACAAATGAATAAGTTTAGCAACATGGCTTAATTCCTCCTTAAAAACTTAAGAACTAAAAAAAAGGCCAATCAAGAAAAAATAACATGGCTATGAAAATCACCTGGAGATAACATATGGCTGTAAAGGTGGGGAAAAACTTCCACTGCTAAATAGACAACAACTAGGAAGCTACAGGAAACTAAATACAAATGCTCAAACTTTAAATAAAAGCACAACAAAAACAAAGCCTAAATAATTAGGTCCAACCACTCTAAGTGATTAGCAATACCAAAGGAGCATGAACAACAGTATAAATAATGGTCAATCAGATGACCCAGCCAAAAAATACAGTAAACACTGCTCGTGAAAAACAAATCTACAAAGAGCACATAGCTCTATTCTCAAGCAAACATTCTGAAAAATAAGGTAAGGTAAGGTAAACATAAAATTCATGAGAAAACAATTCCACTAAGCTTACCCATGGCAAAGCCATCATCAGTAAAGGCAGCTCCAATTTTATTTTTTTTATTCAATTTCTCCTTGCAACTAATGGAATGCTCTACAAAGTTGAGGGTCTAAAAGGATATAACAACATATTAGAGAAACAATTGTGCTAAAAAATCTTCAGTTCCTAAAACAGACATTTCAAAAATTATAAACAGGATCTCTTCTAAGCTCCTGTCCTTTTGATTTGAAACATTTCCCTCATATAAATAGCCTCTTGGTGAGGTCATAATCTGTGTAAGTATCTCTTAATGGCTCTTCTTTCCAAGTCCTTTAAATATGAGCAGTCCCTCAATCACCACTTAACTCAAGCACAGTACTTTTGTGTATGGTTCATTCTAAAATATTATGCACATTTAACAAATGAAGGCACTGAGACTTGAGTGGTTTATGAACTTGCCTCAAGTCATACTCTAAATCAAAGTTGTAGTCAGAAAAGTAGGCCTGCTTTACTTAAAAGCTTAAGCACTCTTAAGCATGGCAGTCCTTACTTCTGCCCACCCAATTCATCCTACAATAGTAGTTCTTACCATATTCTCGGTTTAAAAGGCTTAGTAGTCATTTGGATAAACAAATTCCCCCCCAAAAAAGCACTTCCCTAAAAGTTTAGCTCCTCTGAAATACCTTATCTAATCATAGCATTTATTCAACAAATATTTACTGAAACTTAATAATACCAGGCATTATTAAATAATTACAATAAAAAAATGAATACCATCAAAGAGTTCACACTCTATAGAGCAGCACTCTTGGCAATGACAGAAATGCTGTGTATCTACACTGTCCGATACAGTAAGCCACCAGCCACATATGGCCACTGTGCACTTAAAATGTGTATGGTAAAACTTAGGAACGGAACTGAATTTCTTCATAAAATTTTAACTAATTTACATTTAAGTAGCCATTAGGGGCTACAAAAGGACAGCACAGCACTGGGATAATAGAGAGACCTGTTTAAAAATTATGGTACAGTGTGATAAGTACTATAATAGCCTACATTGTAAACTAGATTATCAAGTTCCACTTTTTTTTGCCTGTAAAACTTACTTGGCAATTAATCACATTTTATAAAATCTTTGTCAACTGTTACTTAAATCTTTAGATATCTCATTTATGTTTGTCTTCTTTCTGGAATTAGATTATAAACTCAAGGACACAAGAATAGTGTCCTATACTTCTCTTCTTTGTAGTGTTTGTAATCCCTCTTGTTTTCTCCATCACTAACTGAATTCTGACAGCAGCTCTGCAAAACTAGACTCTTCCTCAATCCCACAACGGTTTGCCATTTCTGTTTACCATGACTTCAAATTAAAGAAAGATGGTGAGAACTCACCATGAGTTAACTACACTATTATCAAAGTATAACTAAGATAGACTCGCTTCCAATCTGACACTTCTATTCATATCTGAAGATGAAAAGATAATGTCTATCAGATAACTGGACATTTTTGCTACATAACAATTATTATAATAGAGCATTAACAATTAACGTATAAAGAAAACAGTGGAAAGGAAAATGCGTGAAGAAAAAAGCTGTCCATAGACCATCAGCTGCTTTCAATGGATAATAATGGTTCTAATATGTTAGAACATATGTGTTAATTCAGGCAGCAACGTGAAAAGTTATAACTCGATCAAAGTTAGATGTAATCAAAAGCTACGTCCGCTCAGTGATATTTAGATTTTAGAGCTCTCCATTTACAAATTTTTTAAGAGCTTTGTTACAGAAAACTTTATAGAAAAATAACTCTTATTGCTAATATATACCTCTCTAATCTCTTAACTCCATTTTCCCCACTGTGACAATTGTTTTTATATTGCAATTTTGGTTAACTTGAGCTATTTTTAAGATGCCAACTACAGAATTAGAGCAAAACATACCATATACTACAACAAGAAAGCACTAAAATTTTAGCTTAGATGTTCATATTTACTACCAAAAAGACAGAAGTTGTCCTCAAATAGTATGCTTTTAAGAAATACTTCATATTGTAACAGTCTACACTAATCACTTAAAATGACTATATGGTATAATTCAGCCCAAAGATTATATGGGTGGGTGTGTGTGTGTGTGTGTGTAAAATAGTGTATGTTCAAGTAATTTAAATCACACTAGGATTTCTCTGGCTGTTAAGAACAAATAAGAATCTATCTGAACTATGAATAAGTCTCATTCTACATAGCTAATAAGTAAAAATTCTAGGCCGCATTCACTGAGACCACGTTTAGTTTTATCTACAACCAGAAAGTCAACAATATAGTTTGCATTTCCTGCCGTAAAAAAAACTGGATCTATTTATTAATACTTTTTCAAAAAATTCGTTTTGGGTACTAAAAATACTCACCAGAGGTGGAACAATGATATGGAAATTTCGGAGATGTATATTCTTCGGCCTTCGAAATTCTGGAGCAAAAACATCCACAAGCATTTTGAAATACTCTGTGCCTTCGGCAGAATTTCGTGTGTGATCACTGAGGACTGAATCCAAATGCCTAAAATGCAAAAAAATTATTTACTTGGTTTCTTTCTCAAAAGAAGATGTGGCTTCTCATTAGTTGAGATGAGAGCACTCAAAAATGTGAAATATAAGACATCTCTAAGTAAACTTTCTTGGGGTTCAGAATGAACTCATTTTTTTATGGACAGAGGCTAATCAATATGATTTAATTAACTTAGTCCCTAAAACAGAATATGTAGGGCCTCTTGGAACTTTATAGAATTTTCTATTTCTTCTTCTCACAATGAGCCCTATAGAATTCCATTTCATTGTGAATAAATTCCTTTTCATCTTAAATCTCTTCACTAACACTTCTTCTATACCTCCTTACCTCAGCTGAAACCCATCTCCCTTTGAAGAACTTAGCTTCCCACTCAACCTTCAGAAACATTAACTGCTTTTTCTCCTACATCCCTTAGGTATAGCTATTACCACTTTCAAATTATTATTCCCCCACCACTAGACGATCTTAGAAATCTCTCCTTTGAGACTCATGATCCAACTATATCCAACTACCCCCTCCCGAAAGCAGGCATCTAACAGTTTTAACCACTGCTCTACATTTGTTTATCTTGGACTATGAGACCTACTCCAGTTCTCCTCCATCATTCTGGAAGACTTAATGTCCACTTAGATAATCAATTCATTATCATAACCTCATAACTCCATGACTTCCCCTGCCATGAACTTTCCTTCACTTGATGAGTAAACATTTTGGGCGAGAATACAAAATAGGTACTTGCCATTACATTACATCAGGGGGCCCTATAATGTCAGCATGTCCTGTTACTGGTAGTGCTAAGTTTGATCACTTGGTTAAGGTGGAATACATCAGTCTCTGCATTGTGAAGATGTTTTATCCCTTTGTGATTAAGAATCAATTTCTGAGATAATTTTTTCATAGTGAATGAATACTCTGTTCTCCAAAAATGTTTGAGAACCCACTGACGATTTGTCTCATTTCAAGTATTACAGTGATGGTTGCAAAACTGTTTTTTTTTCCCTAAATTTTCTCATCCCTTCTGCATTTACTAGCTGGCTAGCACTGTAAAAAGGAACTTTCCCTCTGCTTCTCCAACTTTTCTTATTATCACTATACTCACGGTCTCTTTTTTAATTCAGTGTATTATAAGCAATTTCTACCATTACTCTTTTTGATATTCAAATTGTCTCCACTTTGCCCAGGGGTGCCCTTTCATGCCTGACTCAATAAGTGTTACAACTATTAATACTATAACTTAGTTTTCTAAAGACTTTCTTAACAATTCTGCATGCCCCCTCAAGTTTTAAATTGTTTTCCAAAATCACCATTTACTCAAGTCTGTAGATCTGCACTGTCCAATAAGATAGTCATTAGCTATTTAAATTTAAATGAAATAAAAATTTTAATTCAGTTCCCTAGTCCCATTAGCCCTATTTCCAGTATTCAACAGTAGTGACTACTGTACTGGACACTGCTGCTATAGATTACATGAAAGGAAGGACGAGTATTCTAGAAATACTAGCTGGCAAATAGAAATATTTAAAAAGAGGAAAAAGAAATAAGTGAAATGAATTTTATTAATGAGATATTTGGCATTCTTTTTTAAACACTAAATCGTCAAAATCAGTTATGAACTTTACACTTTAGCACATTTCAATTCGGACTAGCCACATATCAGGTGTTCAACAGTCACATGTATTAGAAACCCATGGTCTAGAAGATTCCTTTTAGGGAAGTTGGAAAGGCATCAGAATACTGTAGTCTTGAAAAAATTATATTTCATAAACTGAGACCATTACTTGCATAGTTAAAACACGGACATATAAGTTTATATATTACCCTCTAGTCTTGTCTTTAACATTTAAATGAACATATACTTTTCAAATCTCCAAATTTAAATTATTCCAAAATTAGATTACCTAGCTGCTTTTAATGTTTCTTCTGCAAGACCTTCTTCTTTTACTAGTTCTTCAAAATTTACAATATCTTCAAGATCAGGTACAAATCTACATAAGAATTTGGGAAGGAATTTATTAAGCTAAATATGTGCAACTGACACAGACATGAAAGCAATACTGTAAGACTCTAAATTTTTCAACTGTATCTTTGGAAATAATTTTGCATTTCAGTTATATTATTAATATCACCACTTTAGTTCCATAACTGAATTTTAGATATATGAATAATTCAAATTATGCTTAAAAATCATGTAATCTATAGAACCATTCACAAACTGTACCAATAAAAGAAATTAACTATAACTTTAAGTTAACTATGAGCTTTATTTATAAGTTATAAGTTAACTAAATAAAGCTTTTCAACAGTGTGCTGTAGTCTTAAAATCTGAGAAAAAATTTAACTAGTACAACTAATGATTTTCTTCCATATTTGATCTCAAAATATATCAACAAAAAAAGAAAAAACCCTCTCTACAATATTACTTATAAAAAAGACATATTTAAATGACATAAAATTTCTAAATGGCAAAAATATGTTTGCATCCATACCTAATGGCATTGCTGCTACAATGAAGGCCACCAGATCTTATCATCCGTACATAGCCCATAGCATTACCTTAAAAACCACACACAAAAAAAATCAGATGTTTATACAAATAACTCTAAGTTCTAATAATCAGGAATACAGTTATTTATAGCAATTACAAGGTTTCCACTCCTAAGTAGCAAGAGATTTTGCTGTATTTTACACTTCAGTTTTTGCTCCATAAAAATAAAACTTATATATTTGTGCACTTAAAATATAAAGGTACATATATACATCTATATTAAATATTTTTGAAATAAATGTAACTTTCACTTGTAAAGTCATTAAATGCTGACATTTTAAAAAATCACTTTAATATATTACTATATCAATAATTTCTTCACTCACATTAAGTATGTGTTTGTGTCTCTCTCTCACTCTCATACACACACACAGATGGAAGTGATATTCAGAAATCCTTATTTGATGCCTCCCAAACTAGTATCTCCAACCTGGGCTACTCCTCTAGGCTTTTTTATCCAGTGCCTACACCTAACATGTCTAAGAGAAATTTTAATTTAGTAAGTTCAACTCAAACTCAAGATCTTCACCCCCAATTATATTTTCTACCTTAGAAACTGACAATTCTGTCCTTCCAGTAGCTCAGGCCAAATGCGCTGAAGTCATCCCTGACTCTTTCCTTTCTCTCACACTTTGTATCTAATCAATGGCAAATTATGTTGGCTCTACCTTCAAAATGTAGCCAGAATCCAACCAGTTTTCACCACCTTCACAGCTATCACCCTATTCCAAACCAGCATCTCCTGCCTAGAAATGCACTATGCAATGGCCTCCTGATCTCTCTACTTCCACCTTTAGTGTCCCACCCCTCACAATGTTTCCTTCACATAGCGGCTGGTGGTTCTTTTAAAACTAAGTTGGAGCACTTCATTCCTTTTCTGAAAACTCTACAGTAGCTCTCCATCTCAGAATAAAATCCAAATTCCTAACATGGTCATCACAGCCTTGTATGATCTTGCCCCTTGCTGCTGTTCTGATACCATGCCCTACTATTCAGGTCTTCACTAACTCCATTCCAGCCCCTGACTATTTCCCAAAAATGCCAAGCAGACTCAGGCATTTTACATTTAGTGTCGCCTCTTTCTGGTATACTCTTTTCCTAGCTATGCATGCACATGGCTTATTCCTTCATGTTATTTAGGTTCCTGCCCATATGTCACCTCCTTAGAGCTTTCCCTGAATATCACTAAATAGCACTGCCCAGCCCCACTACATCTCCTTACTCAGCACCTATCATTGATACATTATATATCTCTTTGTGTCTCATCCCACTAGAATGCAAGATCCATGATACAGCTTTTGTTTTCTTCACTGCTCTATCCCTAGAGCCAACATTTCCTACTCAAATGAAATGAAATTACTTGGGAGAAAGAATAGACAAAAAGGTAAGAAGCTGTTAACATTTCACACCCATATAATACAGTAATATGTACTTTACATACATAATCTCATCTGATACCTTTTAAAACTCTCAAGTAGTATTACTGAATCTATTTTAAGGCTTATCTCAATATGAGAGATGATGTTAAAATGTTTCTTTATGCATCTTAGAAAAATCAAGTATCTAGTGTGATTGTTTTCCTCCAAATTGTCAAACTGGTATCTGACTGATCAAATGTGCTAGTGAGAAGCAAATAGAGAGTAGCAGTTAAGAGTAAACCTCTGAAGCCAGACTAGTTGGGTTCAAATATGGACTCTGTACTTTTTAGCTATAAAACCTAGGTCAAATTATAAACTTTGGGGCTTCCCTGGTGGTACAGTGGTTGAGAGTCCGCCTGCCGATGCAGGGGACACAGGTTCGTGCCCCGGTCCGGGAAGATCCCACATGCCGCGGAGCGGCTGGGCCCGTGAGCCATGGCCGCTGAGCCTGCGCGTCCGGAGCCTGTGCTCCGCAACGGGAGAGACCGTAACAGTGAGAAGCCCGCGTACCGCAAAAAAAAAAAAAAAAAAAAAATTATAAACTTTGTGCCTTAGTCTCCACATCTGTTAAATTAAGCTCTAAAGGGGCGAAGACTTTGTTTATTGTCATAGGTATCACCAGCACCTAGGAACACTGTGTTGTCCTCAATAAGCCTGTGGAACGAATGAATGGAAATAACATTTACTTCATAACATTGTGAGTTTTATATGCATTAGAACATATAAAGCACTCAGAACAGCCTTGGCACATAGTAAATAAATGCTCAATAAATGTTAATGGTTGTCAATTATTTCAGCAGGCAAAGGACTTAGACAAAAGGACTTCTCACTTTGCTCCCAGCTCTGAGATTCCTTACTCCTTTTCTCAAGAGACTGAAGAGACTCAAAAGCACATTACAATTTTTCATAGGCAGAGGTAAAGAATTTATATTTCCTAAGAAGAGAATAAAGAATAAAATGCTGGAACAAAGTAAAAAGGATAATATGCGCCAACTGTGGAATACATGCTAGCGGCAACAGAGGTGTCGTTATTTTTTGTGTATTGGGGGAAAATGTGTATTTTGATGTGTATTGGGGAAAAATGACTAGCATATTAAGTTCATGATTTAATGATAATTTCATAGTACAAAATTATACTTTTAAAAAATATAAAAACATGAAATACTACTATAGGCAGTATTCACATGGGGGAAAAAACTCATACTGGTGTATGAATTATGGTGTATGAATTAAATGAAGTTTTAAGCAACACTGCTCCAGAAAAACAGCTCTTAATTTGAGGCCCATGGACTCTGACTTTGAGCATCTGAACTCCAGTATACTATATGCAAAAATGTACGTGAGGGCTTCCCTGGTGGCACAGTGGTTGAGGGTCCGCCTGCCGATGCAGGGGACACGGG